CTTGGTTTCCCCAATTCTCAATGAGTTGGGGAGCAGAATTCTGGAAACATGGCTCTTGGGGCATATGTGGGAAAGGGTCACAGTCCCCAGCTGTTCTGCTCCCTCGTTGTGCCATGCACAGGCCCTCAAGGGTAGCTTCTAAGACTGTACCTAGATCAGCCTCACTGCCAATCACAGGGTGCTGGTGGAAAAGGACACTGGGACATGGCGGGCAGAGTGGGCGCCTCTCCTTCCAAGCCGGTTCAGGGGAGAAAATCAAACAGACTATTGCTACATGTGCAGTAGTTCGCTTTCCCCTACGGGGCTGGTCCTACAGCATGGTCTATCCTCCAGTAAAAATATTTATGTTGTACTAGTGGAACTAGGCCTGAATGGGCTTTGGGCTAGAATGCAATCTGCCCTCTATCTCTGTCCTTTTCTCTGAGAAGTGTCCTTCCTACTTGAACCCCAGCAGAAGTGGCCAACACGAGGGCTGGATGAACAACATGCAGCTGATAGGCCAAGTTCTGCCTGACCTGTTTTCCTGGGCCTGTGCAGTTACTCTGTTTGTTTGGTTTTTTTATTTGAATTTCAATGTCTTGTAAAAGGGCACAAACTCTCCAGGTCACTGCTAATCCCTAAATACACCCCTAACATGCAGGCCACTGGGCTCATTCTGTTACTAACACCCCTGTGGGCTTTGACCTTCCCCCTCTGGTAAGCAGAAAATCCTCCTCAGTTAACAGCCTCAGAGTCAGCTTTGGATGCTGAAGTCTCAGGGCCCTTGGAGAATGAAGAAGGGGGATCAAAGAGTAAACCAGAAGCTTAATCTGTGAGATATTTTAAAAATCCACGTAAGCCATTTCCAGGCCTCTTGGTTCTGCATCTTCTGTTGCCTGCCTGCACTCAGTGGGCCCTGTGCAGACTACTTACAGGGTGGTACAACTGCTGGATCATAAATCCTGTGAGGTTCTGCTTTACGTTTATATCAACAGAAAGAGTGTCTTTTCTCAGCTTGTTTCCATCAAAGCAATGCTTGAATTGGGCTGATTCAGCCTCTGGGAAGAGAGGGCAGTCCTTCTTTCCTTGAATACATTTAATTTCGCTCCACCTGTCAAGTGCAAAATGCTCTGGAGAGTCATTCATCTTCCTTTCTATCCTCCTCACACTTTTCCTTCCTCCTCTTTCTTCTTGGATCCCAAATCCAAATGATGTATAAGTGGAGAGGATCTTGGTTTGGTAGGGGAGGGAAACATTGTCAATCTTTATTTTTTTGACCTCAAGCTCCACGTTAGATCCCACATCTGAGTTTGCTAAAACATACAAAGTTCTTCCAGCCCCTGGTCATCTCCTCAGGGTACACTTAAAGTCACAAAATAAGCACAGTGCATTTTTTGGGAAGGAATCAAATCTGCTCCATGGTCAGTCATTTAAAACCATAATGGAACCAGCAAATGTGCTACAAAGCAGAGAGCAAAATTCACTTTTTTAGGAGATAAAACACAGGGTTATAAAGGCATTTCATGCTTGTTGTAGGCTTCTTCCAAATGTTTCCCTGGACCCCAAGGGAGTGCATTAAATCTCCTTTGCGATTAGGAGTTTTTGGGTGAAAGTTTGAGAAGCAATGTGAGATTCTGGCAAATTCTTTTCTAAAACACAGTCTGCTTTTGTATCTGAGAGGGGCATTTCTTTATTTCTGGGGTTCATGGAATGAGAAATTATGTAGCCCTTGGCTGGACACTTATGTCTGTTCCTGAGTTTGCCAAAAAGACTTGGGCTGAGTCACTGGACTGGACTTCATATTCACATTCCGAGACCACCGGGATTGTAAAACTCCCGCAGCTGAGGCCATTTCTTGTAAATGGCTCCACATATTCAAGAATAGTTTAGTCTCATGCCCCCCCCCCCACCCTCGCACAGGACAACCCGCACTGTTGTCTTGCTTATGGAGAAGTGTCAAGCATTTCTCTGTTCTGCATTTGTTGGAAGGTAAACAGGCAGCAAAAGAGAAACTTTATTATGCATGTTTTCTGCCTTGGGTGGCACCTGGAATTTGCTGAGCACAACTTAAATTTTAAAAGGCTCCTGAGCCTCACCTTTTTCATGCCATGCAAGTCAAATGGAAAACCAAATAATTAGAATAAGCAAGCTGCATGGGTCCTTTGTCTCGGTCTCAAGTGACTCCAGACCCTACTGTAGAATTCCAGCACCTCTTTTTCCCCCTTTCCAGCTGTTAAGCTTCCATGACCAGATTTAAACAACCATCTCCTCTCCTCCTCTCAGATAATCAACAACTGATTTAGCATATTACCTAGGACATGATGGTACAAAAAATTTTAAGTGCAGCAACAAAACAAAACCACTCACACCCACTGTCCTTCTAGGACATCACATTTACTTTGTGTCAGTCTTAATAGAACTTTAAAGAAATGAAGCTGATTTTCACAAGTACTACATGGTCTCTTGCTAATGCCAACCAAAAACACTTTGCCCAGACGGCGTCTCACTAACCTGTAGTGAGCTGAAAGCTGGGAATAGAATGAAGCAGAATTGAAGAGCAAACATAAATACCGAGCATTTTGCTCTTTCTCTCAGTGACTCGCTTCAGAGTGGGATCCCCTCTGAGATCCTACAAAATCCTGTTAAATCTTTCTACGTAAGATGCTTAATTATTGTTAGGTTTAGTGAAGAAAATTAGTACCATATCTTCCCAGTGATACTACATTTTGGTAACAATCTCAACTTTGGAGAAGGCAGCATGGTGTGGTGAAGGAAGCCTCAGCATTGGAAGGAGACAGGCCCAGGGTTAAATCCCAGAGCTGCCACTGGATATGTAACAGACCTCTCCTGGGCCTCACTTTTTTTTTCATCTGCAAAATGGGAAATGACGGCAAAGATAAATGCGACAGCAAATGCGAGGAGCGAGCGCAGTGCTAGACACACAATCAAATAGTTTCCCTTCCCTTTTTAAATCAGATTACAGATTATGAACATAAAGTACCTCCCCACCAAGAGCTGACTCTGGCTGAGGGCACTGTTTTTTAAGAAGGGAGCTCTTGGTGGCCCTGAGTTGTGACTGTTGATTGCACACATCTGGAAACTATGACAACCGTTTTGCCTTGAGCTCAGCTTGGCCCAAATGTAGCTCTATATAAGGCAGCTTCTATCCTCCAGTTTTTCTCGACACATCATAGCTTGGCTTGAATTTGGGCAGAGGAGTGGGAGTCAAAAGAAACGCACAATGTCTGGGAGGAATTCAGATTCAACTAACAATTACTCAGCCTTGTATGGCCCCGCTGGGGACTGTCCCTGGAGTAGCTCATTGAACATGTATAGGAGCCCTGTTAGGAAGCTGTATTACTATGCCCACTCCACAGATGCTTCAACTGAGTCTGGGAGGGTAAGTGACTTTCTCAGGGTCACCGAGATAATAAGGCATGAACTTGGGATAAGATTCCAGGCTTTTCAACGTGGTTAAGAAAGCCGGAGGATTTGCAGTGTTGGAGGACGGGCCCCTGCAGGGTCTACTTGCCAAAGTCTACTTTGAGTTGACACTGTCTGCGCCAAGTGCTGGGAGGTAGGGGAGAGGGTGGGAAAGGGTTCCTGGGTAAGTTTGCTTGACGTTTAGAAACCCTGTGCCCAGGCCTTCTGTCCATTATGTCACATATCGACTGAGGCAGGTAGTGAAATATGGCTAATTAAACATGTCATATAAACAATATCTGATCACTAATTTAAAAAAACAGAATTTGTAAAACACTCCTAGCATAATTTAATCTTTTGGGTTTTTTGTTTGTTTTATTTTGATGGTTCAGAGTTATTTTAGGACCAATGTCAACTATCATTCATTTATTCAACAAATATCTATTGATCTACTACTATGTGTCAAGCACTGTTCTAGATACTGGGGATACAAAAACTCTTCCACAAAAACTCTTGAAAGTGCCCTTTCTTGTAACTGACGGAGTAATGATAAATTGAGCTTTTTTTTTTTTTCGAAGAATGCTAAAAATTGTCAGCTATCTTTCTTTTTTTTGACTGTTTAAAGAAATACTGAGCAATTCTAAAGGCAATCTTTTATGGGCTTACCTGATGACTTTTTTCTTTCTTTCACCTGAAAAACTTCCCTTTTTCTCTTGCCCGCTTGTTCTCAAGAGGCGATTTTGAGTCCCAAGATGCTCTGCACCATCTTTTTACGTGTCCACTGACAAAAGAGGGCAATCAGAGTGTGAGTTTCAGTACAGCCCTGATCGGGTGATAAATAGGGAGAGTAATATGCTGCTAGAGTTTTAAAAAAATACCAGAACGCAGTATTTCAAACCCCCATCTCCAAATCAAAAGCCTAGTGAATGAAATTATGACAGTTATTCAAGTGCAATTATACCAAGTATGTAAAATTGAAACACTGAAAGTAAATCATACATTTGGATATTGCATTTCATATTTGAGCGTATGCCAAATAAGCTAGTAAAGTTTTATTATTGTTGAGTGTAATGTCAGGAGACAAAGTTCTACAAATTTTATATATAACTTTTTCCATTTTATCTGTTTTCCATTTATGTCAAGTTGAACACATGGTGTGACTTTTAATATTCTCTCCTCCTTCTTCCCCACATTTAATGCTAAGGGATCAAACTCAATCTTGTTTATCCTCAATTTACCCTTAGGTAACCTCAGACCAAGAGTGTTTTTTAAATTACTATGGGAAAGGAGAGAGGAAGAACCTCTAAATAACCCTATAAACCTGGACCTGTGGATGTTGACAAATGGCCTGGAAAGAGTAGCAAGAGCCAGTGCATTGTAGAAGACAACTGTGGCTACAGCGAGTTCTTGCTAGCTCAGGTCTCAACACGTGGAAACTGTAATAACCGAAGGAACTGTGGATTATGCCGTAAATAAGACCTCGCAGAAGTAGCGGGTTTAGTGAGCCGGGTCTCAGCGGGAGAGCCAAGCCGAGGGTCTGGGAATGAATGAGGGGAGGCCCGGTGCCCGCGCTCCAGGTAGGGGCGCCCCAGCGCGAGCGCAGTGACCGCGGTGGCTCTATTAAGGTCATAACCGCCGCAGGAGGATGGCTTCCAGCTTTAAGAAGTCAAACGCGGCCTCTACCAGCCAGAAAAGAAAGGTGGGTCCTAAGCCTGAACTCACTGAAGAACAGAAGCAAGAAGTTCGCGAGGCGTTTGACCTCTTCGATGCCAACGGAAGTGGGACCATCGACGTGAAGGAGCTGAAGGTGGCCCTGAGAGCGCTGGGCTTTGAACCCAGGAAGGAAGAGATGAAGAAGATGATCTCCGAAGTGGACAAGGAAGGCGCAGGGAAAATCAGCTTCAATGACTTCCTGGCCGTGATGACTCAGAAGATGGCCGAGAAAGACACCAAAGAAGAAATCCTGAAGGCTTTCAGGCTCTTTGATGATGATGAAACTGGGAAGATCTCTTTCAAAAACCTCAAGCGCGTGGCCAACGAGTTAGGGGAAAACCTCACTGATGAGGAGCTGCGGGAAATGATTGACGAGGCAGACCGCGATGGAGACGGCGAAGTGAACGAGGAAGAGTTTCTTCGGATCATGAAAAAGACCAACCTATACTGAAGCAGGTTTCTCCAGCAAGCATGTGTAGAGAAGCTGAGTGACTTGCGGGGTTTCCTGCTTCTATTTTGTGAAACCTTGAGTTAGAGGACAGCACTATCCCTCCCCTTACCCCCAAGTTTGTCTAGATACTTCTATTTCCAAATCTCTGGCTCAATTATAGAATTTTGAAGATGCTTTTAACATGAGTTTTGGGTTTTAATTCTAAAGAGCCGACCCGGAGTACTTTAGATAGGGCCCTGAAGCTTCAGTCTGCCCACCATTTGCCTTGCATTGGTGGGCATCCATTAAACTGAACACAAGATGGCTTCTTGGAACAAACAGCTATGTGGTTCCCTTGTCAGCTCTTTGGTGGTCTTAAATTATCTAGCTTCATATATTATTCCTTAAATTCAAGTCCTTGTTTTAGCATGATGAGGTGGAATGGGCCAGCAGGTCATCCTAGCCATTGCTTTTCACTTAACTGAATACTGATTTGAAGGAAAACAGTGCAGCCACTCATTGGGCTCAGGAAAGATACTGTTCTAAAGTATAGGCTTGCTTTTGGTTGGTGGTACGTTGTGCAACTTATACTATTCTCTGACTTCATCACATGCAAATGATTCTTCTTTTGTGTGTTAATTATTTACTGTGGATTATCCAGGGCCAGAATGTATACTTGGGCTACAGAATAAAAACAAAATTTAATATTGGCCCAAGCAAAGTATAATTCACTTAAGAGATTAAGCTAACTAATTATTTCAAGTAAATATTTACAAATGTAAGATCTTAGTTTAGGAAATTGTAAAAAAATATCTACAATACATTTTAAGTTGCTTATCTATCCTTGGAAAGATCAACTAATGTTTTAGTTACTAGACTACTATACTATAACCTTAGTCATTTTATTACTGCTTTGTTATAAGCCATTATCTACCCACTGATTCTTAGAACATCTTAGCTCTTGGTACTTAATTTCCCCTCTCTGGTATATAGTTGATGCCAGAGTGTCTGGCACATGAGTAGTTCTCTATTTTAGCATGCCAGGAAACTATTTTACTGTGGCTTGTGTATGTGTTAATACTACTTCTCTGTTATAAATTAAGCCTTTCTTGTTTTGAAATAAGATACCTACCCTTTTGAATATCTACAAATCTGAAGTTAGAGAAAATTTAAGTAATATAATTGTGGGAAGATAATATAACCTATCTGCTGAGATGGAAGCCTAGATTAATGTTTTGATAATAGGCAACAAAACTATTAAACAGGCAAGATATTTTGGTCACAACTAAACCTAAATTAAATCTTCATACAAAGTCCCATTAAGATAAGTGCTGGAATGCTGGAAAATTTTTCACTTGCTTTGGCAGCAATTTTACCCTTCAGAGGGTAGTGGATCTAATCAGAGGAACTACTACTCTGAGCTTAATTCTCATTAACAGGGACTAATTTGTCAAAGCAGCAGTACTAGCTGAAGTGATGGATATGCGGGCATTCACTGTGAGAAGGATTTTGCTGAGGTGGCTGGCACAGGGCAGGGGAACTCACCCGGGCTGCAAATGCTAACAGTTCAGCTTCAAGGTCTTAGTGTGGATTCAGGTGCGGTTGTACGGGACATAGGTGCAACTTGGGCCAGCATCAGTGTGAAGGGCCTGATCTGAAGGCAAGGGGAGGAGTGTGGCATTCTGGGAAGCAAGAGTTCCTGGCATCCTGTTGACCAGAGTCTTGGCCAAAGGATCTACATATGGATCGAGGTAGAAATACCAGAAACAAAGAAAGTTGGCAGAAACTAGAAGAAAGGGTCAACTAAGCCAACTGGACTGGGTTCAGTCTTGTCTCTTGGCCCAGTGGAGGATAGAAGTGAAAACCAGAAACCTGGGCTGAAGCCCAGCAGCCAGGCTGCCCAAACAGCATGGGGTCAACTGTGGAGGCTGTAGCCCAGTACTTAAAGGGTTGCCCTGAGGGCACAATCCATCCCACATAAAGAGAGGGGGCTCCAGAATATTTCTGAACCCTATTCATGGCTAAGGAAGAACGTCTCAATGCAATATTCATCTGGCTTCTCAGTTGGCTCATACTCTAGGGGATGGAGAGTACAGGAGGCAGGGGAATGACTAGAGCAGGCCCAGACTGATGTTTGAATTTTAAAAGAAGTTAATCATGCATATCTGGCTGGGTCAGACATGTATCCTAGTATTTACAAAAGTAGAACACAAAAAATTCAAAGAAAATTCATAGACACCTTTTTGCAGATGAGGAAACACAGCTATAAATGTTAGGAAGAACTAAAGAAGTAACTTGCACTGAGCTGTTACAAATGGTCCCAATAAAGAAGCAGGAAGCATACCAAAGAAACCATGTAACTGTGTAGAGACTTCATTGATAAGCCCTTGCTTTCTAATGATAAATGCAACAGATGAAAAGCAGAGCACAGGGTCAAGGATGAAACCATGACAGTATCAAGGTTGTATTAACATCAAGAAAGAAAGAGCCAGCCCTGATGGCCTAGTGGTTAAAGTTCAGTGCACTTCACTTCTGCGGCCCAGGTTTGGTTCCCGGGCACAGACCCACACTACTTGTCTATCAGTAGCCGTGCTATGGCAGTGGCTCACATAGAAGAACTAGAGGGATCTACAACTAGAATATGCAACTATGTACTGTGGCTTTGGGGAGGGAAAAAAAAAAGAGAGGAAGATTGGCAACAGATGTTAGCTCAGAGCAAATCTTTCCCAGCAAAAATAAATAAATAAATAAAAACCACAAAAATCAAATCAGGTGCAATACTTGATAGATTTAAAAAAAAAAAGAAAGAAAAGAAAGTGAATGCCCCAAATGAGCAAAGGACAGTAAAGAGATTTTTTTTTTCTTAAAGACATCTTAGTTTTAAGAAGATATATGAAGGGATAGGTCCAACTCTTTAGATAGTTGCAGGTTGGTTTCCATGGGAAGCAGACTCTGAGTTTGAGGTTTGTGTGCAGGAAGTTTATTGGAGTGTGTTCTCTAGATCACAGGGGAAAGAAGAAACCAGGACTGGGGCAGAGGGAGAAGTTGGGCTGTGATGCAGTCAAAACAAAGGCCTCAGCTGATCCCACAGGGAGCTCTGGGCGAGGATGATCCTGCAGAGATGTCCCAAATTGGGACAAGGAAGTTGAGGCTTTAAAATTTTTCATTGATTGACGGACATGAGCAGTCCTGGACATTAGCAGTCCTCAGGAAGAGGGTAGGTATGACCTTGAGCAAGGTGGCCCTCCTCAGCCAAGGGTAATCACTGGGAGGGAGAACTCAGTTGCAAACTCAGCTGTCAACACTCCTAGCACCTAGGGGGATGAGGACTTCAGTTCTGAAGTGCAGAGCCAAAGGGGAGATCTGGGCAGTGCCCCACAGCTTCCACTACAGTCCACCCCTTACCCCTTAGATATACTGGCTTTGTATAAGTTCTGGGAGAAGCTAATTGAGGATTCTGATGGATCTCTCTTCCTGAGGGAAACTTATAAAAGAAAGATCAGAGGGACAAACTACAGCCCTTGCTGCAGTAGCTGGTCTTGAAGCCACAAATAGTACTTAGCGCCCTCCAGTATCCCATCTAGATTCACCTCACTCTCAGCACCTCTGTTGATGCAGGTGACTTACCTGGTGGGATGACCCAGATCATCATCCTTGAGAAGTCTGAGCCCCCATCACCATGCCCCTGTCACGCTGTGGCTGCTGCATGTATCCGTTTACCCTCAAAACTGAGTGAAAGAGCACCAAGAGACACTCAGGTGTATTACCTGGGTGCCAAACATACTCTTCCCATATTCTTCCTGCAGATCTACCTCTTCCTGGTGACCAGGGTCAGTTACGCATGGGTATTATGCAACTTTACTTGACTGTTGCTCTCTCAGCATGAGGAACCCCCTGTGATTGGGTGGCATACATAGTTTGAAATTTAATGTCTCTCTTGCTGTGCTCACTGGTGGCCTCTGGGAGCCAAGATCTCTAAATGCACATAGTCCAAAGTTGTGGGGATGAGAAGCACAAATTAAAGAGCAGATGACTGGGAATTAAGGTAAGAACTACTTCCACCCTTGGTTTGCTGGACCCATATATTCTGCCTAAGAGATACCACACCACATAATGGTCATTGGTTTAGAGTGTATGCTGCATTCTAGAGGATGGCACCACATCCTCACTGGTTATCATGTCCAAGCTGAGACATGTCCAAGCCCTCAGAGACATATTCAACATGCTTTTCTGTTGCTCCATCAGGCTGAAAGATTCTTTATGTTATAGGACAAGTAGATTCTGTGGCCGTATGCCCACTGCTTCACCTCCTTTCCTATAAAGTAGGTCCCTTGGTCCAATGTAGTATTAAGTGGGATCCTATGTTGGTAGAATAAATACTCAGATATAATACTGGCTGAAGCTCTGCAAGCAGGAAAGGCAAACCCATGACCGAAATATGTATCAAGTCCAATCAAGGTGAGTCACTGGTCTTTCCAGAGTAGAAGGGATCCAGTTAGACTACTTGACACCAAGAGGCTGGTTGATCTCCTTGAGGGACAGTGCAGTTCTGCATTTGGCAGCAGAAGTAGCTATATCATCCTGGGTGGCTGGGAGCCTATGCTGCTGGGCTCATGCATAGCCTCCATCTCTGCCACAATATCTACTCCATTCATGTGCCTATTGTGCCAGCACTGGGATGGCCAATGACAGAGGCAGACTGATGTCAATTGGCCAAGTCATTCTATCTTCTTGGTTGTTAGGTGTCTCTTCTGTGATAGGCAGTCTCTAATAGGTGTAAATATGAATTACAAAGATCCTTACACTTCCTACCCATTGCCGTAAATCATCTATGTGCCTTTTCTCCAGAACTTTTTATTCCTGATGTTTCCTTTTCCAGGGCCCTGGTTGGTCATCTGGTTGGTCATGAGTCAACTGGTTGGTCATGACTGTCTGAGTTCACATATATTCTAATCCCAGGCCATTTCTCTTTTCATACAAAGTGGATGACCAAGTGCCACTACCAGAAATTTTGCCATTTGGGAGGATTTCCCCTCTCACTGCTATCTTTCTGGTCCACCTTTGAGTGGTGCTGTAAAGCATCTGTAGTCCATTATACCAAGCTGACCTATCCTTGAATCAAGTTCAGCCTTTTTACTCCTCTAACAGCTGCTCATAAGGGACTCCCACCCCCATGTGGTCATAGGCATGAGCTGAGG